AGGGCAGAAACATCCAAATGCAGGCATCTGACTAACATCTCCAATTGTATTTTCTCCTGATGAAGAAGAAGCCCGTGGAGCTTTGAAAGCTTGCAATAAGGATATTGTGCATTTGGGTTGGCCAATAAAGGTATCCCTGTTTGGTGGGTTTTTGTTTGTGCACACACATTGTATTATGAATATTGTTTATGTATGTGGAAGGGTATCGTTTGGGGTTTTTGGAGGGTACGGACCACACCAGTGGCACCTCAGAGGGAGGTGTTGTCCAGTTTGCTGGTGGGAAGGGGTGCCTTCTGTGTCTGGTGGCTTTGGCCCGTGGGCAAAGAAAGTCTCCTCTTTTGGCCATCTGGCCAGCAGCTTTGCTAAAAGCTGAGAAAGGCTGGTGAACAGAGATGGGGGGTGTTAAAAACAAGATCCGTACCCGGCGTCAAATATACCAAGCACTCCACTGTGCATGTGTGCTGTTTGATAAAAGAACACATTCACCCATGTGGGAAGAAGGGGTTTCAAAGCATGTGCAGAGTGTCCTTCCTAAGCCACCAAGTCGGCACAAGCAAAGCTCTCATATCTCTATTTTTTTCTGGTCTCAAGCTGTACAAATATGTGCTAGGTGGAAAAGACAGAAATGGGAGTGATGTCCCCACATTCAACTGTGGAAACTCATTGACGGACGTTGGGCAAGTCACACTCTCTCAGCCTCAGAAGGCCACAGCAAATCTCCTCTGAAGAAATGTTGCCAAGAAAACTCGGTGACAGGGTTCCCATAAGTCAGAGACATCTTGAAGGCACACAACAATAACAATAACAACAACAACAAGAACCTCTCCTTTATCCACAATGTCACACAGCCCTGTGGAATCCTGAAATGTGTAGTTGTATAGGGTGCATCTGCACTGTAGAAATACGACACCACTTTAACTGCCATGGCTCCATCTTACATGAGAATCCTGGGATTTGTGGGTCAGTGAGGGCACCAGCCCAGGCTAGTGTGGCATAGTGGTTTCAGCACTGGATTATTACTCTGGAGACCAGGGTTCAAATCCCAGCTCGGCCATGGAAACCCACTGGGTGACCTTGGGCAAGTCACACTCTCTCAGCCTCAAGCAAAGGCAATGGCAAACCTCCACTGAACAAATCTTGCCAAGAAAACCCCACGATAAGTTTGCCTTAGGGTCGCCATAAGTCAGTAACGACTTGAAGGCACACAACAACAATCCCTTTATACACTATGTCCCACCTTTGTGGACTCCATCCTGCTGTAGGCGTAAGAGAATTAATTCTGTGCCAGGAGAGGGGAGTGCAAGGGAGACATTCCCAGTTGCCCCAGTCCAAAGACTCCAACACCTGCTGGACAGTTTTGTCTGGCCAGAGTCTTTGTTCCTTAAGTTTTCAGTCACTGGCAACCACTTGGCACAGAAGAACAAGACTCTGAAGGGACCGGTTCATGGCGCACATGTTCTCTGGAAGCCACACAACTAGGCAAGAGAGAGATGGGCAAAAGTCAGCAAGAGGGATGCCAACTAGGGAACGGAAAGAGGCCCATGGCCTTTGTCTACTTCACAGCGGCTGGGCTTGCTTCAGAAGAAGATTTGCATAATATTCAGCAGGAACAATGGTCCTGCTGCCGCCCAGTTTTAATCACCCCTTTGGTAATCTTAGGTTTGGAACAGCGTCTTGAAACAAGGGAATTAAGTGGCATTCAATGCACCGAAAGCAAAAGAGGGAAATGTGTTCATTAATCTTTCCTGTCTAATTGGACAATGCAACACTGTATGTGTTTGCTCCTTCCCAGGTAGAAGATGACAGCCTTATCGTGGGCAGTTTTGAGATTATCAGGATCCCCATCTCGGCTCATCTGGGCTGGGCTAGTACCGAAAAATCAGACAGGTCCTGTTTCTCCTACACCTCCAAACTTTGGGATTGCATTTTGCAAGAGAGTTATGCCAAAGAAACATACGGGGAAACAGGAGTCTAGCTACAAAGGGGGAGCAAAATGAAACCTTGCTCTCCAATGAAAATTCACACACACACATACACAAAATAAAATTTTCTTTCAGTCTCCTAATTTCTGGCATGGCAAAGAGCAAGACAATGAAAATTGCAAAAACTGATAATTATTCAACTTGCTGTGCTTGCCTTCCCTTGGTAGCTTGGCCTTTTCTTTGGGCGCCTATAGTATCTGCTTCTCAATGTTCAAGTTTTAAGGGACTGCAATGCTAGAAATATGGAGATGAGAAAAAATTGGGTGCCTATTCTGTTTCTCAATGCTCAAGGTTGAAGGGGCTGGGAGCTGTAATCCAACACATCTAGACTTAGGGGGGTTGCAGATTGCCAGAAATAGTGCAAATTGAGTCCACTTTTAGGGTTAGGGTTAGTGCTAGGGAATCATGGGAACTGTGTTTTTTTCTGAGACATTGAGCCTTCTCTGTCAGAGAGCTCTGGTGCCACAATAAAATACAGTTCCCATGATTTCCTAACCCTAACCCTAACCCTAACCCTAAAGGTGGACTCAGTTTGCACTATTTCTGGCAGTCTGCAACCCCCCTTAGATGCTAGAATTACAGCAGAAGTAACTGATGAGGTGTCCAATAAACTCGTTTTTGAGATTAGACTGGATCAGTTCGAGCCGGTGAGTACCGATGACGTGGACAAGATCCTTGGAAAAGCGAAGAGGACGACGTGCCCCTCGATCCCTGCCCGTCTTGGCTGGTCGTCCAGGCTTTTCTTAAGATGGTCATCAATGCATCCCTTCCATCGAGTCTAAAGGAGGCGGTTGTTAGACTACTCCTGGAGAAACCTTCCCTGGACCCCCTGGACTTGAAAAATTACAGACCATTTACCATTTCTGAGCAAGGTGATCGAGCGAGCCATCGCCTTCCAGCTCCAAGCGATCTTGGATGAAACTGATTTTCTGGATCCATTTCAAACCAGCTTCAGACCTGGATATGGGGTGGAGACTGCCATGGTTGCTCTGGTAGATGACCACCACCTGAGCACAGACAGGGGAAGCGTGACCCAGTTGGTGCTTTTGGACCTCTCAGCAGCTTTTGATACAGTAGACCATGACGTCCTCTTGGAACGCCTGAGAGAGTTAGTTAGGAATGGGAGGCACTGTTCTTCAGTGGTTCCGCTCTTTCCTCTCGGGTAGGTTTCAGAGGGTGTCACTCGAGGACAGCTGCTCCTCAAAATCGGAGCAAAAATGTGGCATTCCACAGGGCGCCATCCTGTCCCCGATGTTGTTTAACATCTATATGAAGCCGCTCTACGGAAATCATCCATAGACATGGGGCGGGGTGTTACCAATATGCTGATGACACTCAAATATTCTGCTCCATGTCTTGGTCAGATGCCGTGACGGCTGATGGCAATTCTCCCCTCAATCAATGTCTTGAGGCGGTAATGGACTGGATGAGGAAAAACCGACTCAAGCTGAATCCGGACAAAACGGAGGTACTTACAGTACGGGCCCCAAAACCAGAGATTGGGTCACAATCCCCTGTCCTGAATGGGGTCACGCTCCCCGCTAAGGACTGTGTCCGCAATTTGGGGGTGCTCCTGGACTCGCCGCTTCACATGATGGATCAGGTGAATGCGACAGTTAGGAGCGCCTGTTATCAGCTTCAGCTGATACGCCAGCTGCGCCCTTTCCTGGAAGTAAGGGACCTAGAAACTGTTGTACACGCACTGGTAACTTCACGACTCAATTTCTATAAACAATTTAACAATTTAATTTTGCATACCATACATATTCAGTTATATGCTGGGGAATTTTGGGTGGCCTGGTTATTATGGTGATGACTTCTTACTTTGGCTCATCTATCAAAGCCAGAACTTGGGGATGTTACGGTACTTTTTTTGGACTACAGTTCCCAGGATCCCCTACCCAGCAGTTTCTCCTATGAACAAGATAGTTATGGGTGAGTGGTGGCAGGTTCTAAACCAAGAAACAAAAAGAAGAAAAACTATTACATGGCATATCCCTTGCTGGGCTTCAACTTGTGGTTGCAGCCTCCAAGGCTAATTTTCAATTTTTAAAAATTCCTACAAATTCAATGAGAGGCAGTCTATGCATCTCTTTTCTCCAAGAGCTAAGTTTAATGATTGATTTATCTATCTGTTTACTATCCTGCCTTTCTCCAAACACAGAACCAAATGCAGCACATTGTACAGGTTATATTGCTTATTTATTTATTTAAATTTTTATATAAATAAATACTATTTCATCTTCTCGCTTCATTATTTTGAGCTGAATCATCTAGAAACCATCTGAACCAACAATATATAGCAGCACACTTTCCAGGGCAACCAACAAAGCATCAATGGATTGACAAAACTTGGGAGGCCATAATCATGTACTAATATAGCAAGCATTATTTTAAAAAAGATTGGGAGACCAAGGTTCGAATCCAGAGAAACTTCAATGAACTTCAGCAAGTCACCTTCTCTCAGCCTCAGAAGGTGTCCGCGGCAAATCTCCTTTGAACAAATCTTGCCAAGAAAACCCTGCCATAGGTTTGTCTTAGGGTAACTTTGTGGCACACAACAATAACAACAACAGGGAAACTCTGCAAACCTCTGCTTACCTTCTAATCAACTACAGATCCCGCTCTCTCTATATCTCCTTAAGATGGAGGAGGCGGTTGCATCAATCGCTCTGCTGCTGCCCAGTTTTAATCACTACTTGGGTAATGTTAGATTTGGAGCAGCATCTCAAGACAATGGAAGAAATAGATTAGAAAGCTGGGTCAAAGCTAACAAAATGAATTTCAACAGGGAGAAATGTAAGGTACTGCACTTAGGCAGAAAAAGCGAAATGCATAGATATAGGATGGAGTACAACTGGCTTGATAACAGTACATGTGAAATGGATCCAGGAGTCCTAGTAGAACATGAATCGACAGTGTGATGCGGCAGCTAAAAAGGCCAATGTGATTCTAGGCTTCATCAACAGGAATATGGTGTCTAGAATGATCGAGGGAAGTAACAGTGCCCCCTCTATTCTGCTTTGGCCAGGCCTTACCTGCGAAACTGGTTACGATGAATAAAGACCATGAAATTTTGGGCTACAGCAAACATATCAGTCTTCCTTTAACACAACTGTGGCAGCAGTCCAGATTTGGGGGCGCTCCAAAGGTGGTTTTGTGGCCTTACAGCCCTCTCTGGACTGCCCTTCTTTAGCCAAAGGAAACTATTCAATTGTTTCTCCTAGATGCCTCCAGGAGTAGGAAATTGCCTTATAAATGGGCTGCAGGACCCAACCTGCACTTTTTATTTATTATTTAAATTTATTTATTTATTGGATTTATATCCTGCCTTTCTTACAAAATGGGATTCAAGGCAACTTTTAAACATCAAAAAACCAGAAATTGACTTTTGGTTACTTACACTTCTGGAGAGGGGAGGTATTTTTCGCAGTCCATGTGGCCCTTGGGCCAAAAACTGATCCCCAGACGCCACCCAGTTCCCACACCTGCATCAATGTCCCAGGACTCCCTATTTCTTTTTTCCTACAACAAGCAAACCTTCCCAAAAAGTAACGGTGTAGTAGCTTGAGTGCTGGACTAGGACTCTGGAGACCAGGGTTCGAATCCCTGCTGTGCCATGGAACCCACTGGGTGACCTTGGGGGGAAGTCACACTCTCTCAGCCTCAGAGGATGGGAATGGCAAACCCGCTCTGAAAAAAACCTTGTGATAGATGTGCCTTTGGTTCGCTCTAAGTCAGAAACAACTTGAAGTTTCACCACAACACCCAACAAAGGAGGGATTTTTAAAATGCATTATGTATTAAGTCATCCAATGTAGTGGACAACAGAAATCTCAGACAAAGTGCAAGCTTCTGGTTGTATAACAAAGCACTAATATTTCAAAAATGATGACACAACTGAAATCAGTATTGGAACATACTTGGAGCAACATCTGGATTCCTGACTAGGGGGTGAAACCTCGAGGGGTCTTCTGTTCGGATGAGGAAGCCCTGGGTTCAAATCCCCAGTGAGCCCAAAAGCTCGCCAGGTTGCCTCTCCGGAGCAGGCTCTCTTCTCTCAATGTTCGTG